AATATTTTCAAATTTAAAATATATATTGATAGAGAAGATCAATACAGATTTTACAAGACTGTTTGCGAAAAGATAAGGTAATGAAAACCTATCTAAACAATCTTTGGTTACACAGAGCTTTAGCAAATACAAGAAAAGAGATTGCTAAAAGGAGGATCATTTACTTAAGTTAGAAGATGCTTGAAGTAAGAATAAGGTTAGAGAGAGATGCGCGCTCTCTGCATGGAGAAGAAACACTTCAATTTATACCCAGTGCATTAAATGATCATTTAATGCAATATGGTAGGTTTAGAGTGTGTGTCAAGCCTTAAGAGGAAGGCTTGTCCTTTGCTACAGTGAATGGTACAAAAACACTATTTCTGAGCAGACATCCTTGCTTAAAGTTGGTGGACAAAGAGTCGACTAATCGGCTCCGTACCGTACTAACTTTTGTAAGGGTATGGGTTTGTCCTTTGTGTGCATAAGGACAAAACAACAACAATCGTGCTAAGCAAGCTTCTTTTGATCGCTGAATGCTGGAATGACCTGGAGGTCTCATCATCATTCGCTGAAGCTAGAGCAGTCTTCACACATATGTAGACAGGCTTGTAATCACTGAATACCGCTTCAGATCACGTACTCGCCAGTCTCTAATCTTCAGTTTCAGTCTTCGACATTCGCTGAAGGATCTTTGGTGTGAGTGTTGACTTCTTGAAGTATTGTTGTCTCTGATAGATTTACAATGCAAGTTCTTCAGCGATCACTGAACATACTCAGTGATGATCGCTGGAACTGAAAATACAAAAACACAAATACAACGTGAAAGGAAAAAGGGATTATCATCAAATCACTGAGAGAGAGGATCAACAGTACTTATATTGTAAAGACCTAATTTGTAACTAATCTAATTATAGGGACCTAATATGTAATTATTCTAAGTGTAGGGACCTAATATGTAACTAATCTAATTTAGGGTTCTAATATGTAACTAATCTAATTACATGACCTAATATGTTATTACTTTAAGTACATGGACCAAATCTGTAATTATTTTCCAAAGTTTTTGCGGACCTGGTCGCAAAAATTATGGACCTGTTTGATCCAACATGAAAAAATCGATTTTTACAGAAAACAATAACATTTATAAAAAAATCATACAGTAAACATATAATAATGCATTCAAACTACCAAAATCATTGGGTAAAAATACAACAAAATCTATAACAAAAAAATATTATGTTCAAGTTACAAAATCATCTATAACCTTTAATACAAATAGTTTATCTATACTATATTATAAAACATTTGACAAAAACTTTTAAAAACCATTTTTTATGCATGAAGTACTGTATACTGATGCATATTACTTAAAATTCAAGATTACAAGTAAATTATACATAAGTACAACTTATTAAAGCTCCATGTTTGAATTCGTGTAACTAACTT